AGCCATAAAATACTTTTTGAATCCGAAGCACCGCATTGCTCCTGTTGTTTTGGTGGCTTTTTCTTGGCGGATGGCGGAGATTACCGGTGAGGGACTTTCCTTCCTTTCGCCACCGAGAAAATACAGAGCCAACAAATGAGCCAGCTCACTGGGGCGCCTCTTTAACCGCTCATTTCGGGATGTTGAACTTTGCAATGGATATCATTTGGAACGCTAAGTGGGGGAATTCCTTTTAGGTGTGGAATTACCTCAGGAATTTTTGAGAAATCTACATGATATCGGGGAATATCTATTGGGTAATAATGCTCCTGAGGAAATATGTACTTATGGTATGTGAACCTTAAAAATCAAAAACTGACCAATGATTCTCTTACATATCTTGGGGTTTGTCGTAATTGAAGTATAATAGACCGGATTGAGGTCACCTCTTTAATGTTTTCTTCCCCCGCAGCAAGTTCTTTTCGCTATTTGAAAGTGATTTTGAATTCCCACTTGCCCGAATCCCTCGGAAATTAGCTTTCCCGCCCTGATTACAGTGCCACTTTCCAATCGCACCGCACCGACTCCATATCCATGTAGCTTTTGCGGTTCATAAACACAAATCAGCTGCAGATGGAGGCAACCAGAAAGCGTTCAATTCGTGCGCCAAATTCCGAATCGAAATCCAAGCCCAGGCCCGATTCAATTGGATTCGATTGCTGGTGGATGTGGAGTGGGGAATGGGGAATGGGGAGTTGGAAGGGGATTGGGCATACTTGTGCCCGATTACCATTACTGAAAATTGAAGTAACATGTGTGACGATGCGCAATTGCCAAGCGCCCCCTGGCGGCCACTCTCTGGAAGCCGTTGGCCGTCCCACCCACCCATTCACCCACTCAACCACTCACCCACTCAGTCGCAATACGGGAACCACCCATCTATTGTTTCGTTTTCTATTTCACAGACGACTGGCTGTTGCCGCGGCGACTTTCACTGGCACACAGCCTTCAGCTTCAGTTGCAGCCTTCAAATTCGTAAAGTAGATGGGTGGTTTAGTGGGGGTGGTGCTTAGGTGGTTCGTTTCACCGTGGTTCTGAGGTGGTGCTGCCCCGAATAACGCTCCCAATTTGGAGCTGCCTGTGCGTGGTGCTGTCATGTCTTTGTTTTGTCTCCGTGCGATGGCAAATATTTGGTCTGGCCGCGTCGGCAGGAAAAAGTATCTTGCAGTTGCAAAACAAAAAGTATCTGCAAGTCGAACAAGTCGCAGCTAAAAAACTGAAACTGTAAACTGTGCAAATAGTGCAAATATACAGGGCTTTCGGGGTACACGTCTTGAGCGGAAACTGTGCCAAAAGACGTATGGCACAAAGCAGGATAAATTTGCCAAGTTTATCATAGCATACAGAGGAGGGGCGGCGAAAAGGGGAAGGGGCGTGGCAGGATTTGGGGGCCTGTTGGCAAAACATGAGCCAAGGCATTGAGCATAAAATATTGCCGGCGATATTTTAGCGCGCGCTCAAGCGAAATTGTCATATAAATAACGCCCGAGGGGAAAGGGGGAAAAGGGGGGAGGTGGGGAAAAGGGGTCTTTGGGGGGTTTTTCGGTTTAAGGTTTTAGGATATTGGCTGGCGTTACTTTGAAATATTAAACATTTGGCAAACAGGCAAAAGTTGAAGTTTATTGCCGACGTTGATGGCTCGAGTTGAGGAAGTTTTTTTGTTGGCCGCGGTAAATAAAAAACGAGGCAAGTAAACTGGGCCAGGCCAACTGAAACCTGGAAACCATTATGGACCAGTCGATTCCGATGCTATTTTTAAGCACCGTCAAACTTTTTGCCCGCCGCAGATAAAAGGGGGAAACAGTGAGGTTGCCACGGGCACAACTGTACTTGCCAACATGCCCCACCCCTCACCATTTTCCATTTCCCATTTCCCCTCCTCCACTGCCGTTAAATCAGAAACATGCATTTATTTAGCAATTTCCACCAACTGCAACTGAAAAGTTGTGGCAAATGATTTCTTTTTTTTTCCTGTGTTGTGTGCTGGCAAATTTTCAAAACGGAAAAAAAGATCTCTAGACTAAACAAAAAGCAACAACAGAAAGTGTTAAAAGGGGGCGGTCGAGTTGTGGGCGGGGCAGTGAAGCGGAAGTCATAGCGTTGGACCAAGGCAAGAGCAAAACCAAAATCCGGGGACCAAAAACCGACAAAAGACGGAACAGAAAACGGCACCAGACAGATACAATAAAAAGAGGTTTGTCCACCCACCGCCCCCCTAACTGCCCCGCCCCCTTTTTTTGGGCCATGGCCACAAGGCTGTTGGACTCACCAGCCACACAAGGAAAAACCATTACTATTTTTAGATTCAATAGTATTCCTCTAAGCTCTTTAATGCTAAATATTGATGGGAAGTTGTGCAATCTTTATGTTTCATCTATTGGAAAGGTTTGTGAAATTATATTTCGATACATATGAATGTTCACTTCAAGCTAAACTAACTTTCCAGTACAAAAAATTAATTAAATTACCTTGAAAACTCTCATTGTATGACATTCGTGCACAATTACATTTTTTCCACTGTAAAGAGTTTAACCCTCAGGCAAACATTTTGCAACAATGGTCGAAAAGATATAGTCAGGAGAAGGGGAGAGCGACCGAGAGGGTCAGAAAGTGCAAGTTGGACACGAGCGGAACTAATAAATGAGTTCAGCAACAGCAGCAAACCAAATAAAAATGTCCAAAAAGGCTACCAAATAAAATCTCAGCGCCAGACCATAAAATATTAAGAGCATACTTTCAATGGACGGGGATTGAAAGGCCCAAAAGGGGAAGAGCGAAACTTTTGTGTTGGTGACAATTTGAATAGCTAAGCCCTGGGGGAAGTTGACCCATTGCTTTTAATCAAAAGAATAGTTTCATAGAAAAAATTGTTCTTTGTTTTTATAAAAAACATCCCAAGCCTATTAATAATTCAATTTGAACAACAAAACTCACTCGCGATATTTATTGAGAAAAAATGTTTTCTCCAACAAGAAAAAAAAATATAATTATTTAAAAACCGCTTTGTAAGCTTAATGGTTTGGCAAGATAAAATAAAATGCCTACAAGAAGCAGCCATAAAAACCCATCTTTTTGTGCTTTACGAGCCATCTATTTTTCTGTAAAATGAGAAAGAGCTCGCTTAAACTTTTCACTCCCCATTTTCCATCCCAGCTCACCGCCTTCGGTGCCAGAAAAATAAACCTGAACCTGAAAAATAAACCTAAGCCAACTGATAACTTGTGAACTTCTCGACAGGTCGTGGCTGCGAGCTCATTGAAAACCAGGCCTGCGGTATCGCGTTGGCCATTTAACAGGATTTTAGCAATTTAAATATGATTTTAGCCAACCCATCCTGCCATTTCCCATCTCATCTCCCATATGCATTCCAAGCAGCTGTGCTTGCGCACAAAGGAAAACTTCCACAGTTTTGTTTTTATTCGCCCGAAAATGTTGTCGGTTGTTTGTTCTTCGAGGCGGAGTCCCAGTCTCAACAAGTTGCTTTATGGCATATGCATGATAATGACGAGGAGTCGGGATAAAGTCAGGAAGGACCCTCCATGAGTGCCATTTTTTGCGGCCTTGTTTCATATGATGGCGGCTCCCGGGTGTTTATGTGATATTTACATAATAAAAAGCGAGAGTTGCCCCGTTCAGAGGACGCAAGTTATATCCTTTTTTTCTCGGAATTTTCAGAACGAAGACAGCTCTCTGCCGCTCTGAAGTTTTGACCCACATCTATGATTATTTTCATAGCGCCTTTGGGGCCCAGCCACGCCCACACTGCGTAAAGTTGAAAAATATGAAAAGGGGGATGATACATCCCTTTGTCTTTTGTTACCCCCATTTTCCCTTCTCTCTCCCTTCGAAAAAAAAACAACAAAGGAAAAAAGAATTTCGCTTTTGTTTTATTTATTTTATGGCCCGTTTGGGGAGCCCAGTGCCGATATCCTTTTTCTGGGCCCCATCCTTGAACTTCTCGCAGTTGCCGCGCTAAATTAAGTTTTGTTTTGCCAGTCGTCCCCAGATCCCAGCCTCCATCCTCCATCCCCTCAGCCTCCGAAACTGATAAATGTCCCCAAAGCAAACAAAGTGCAAGTTGTTTTTTAAGTTCGGCCCCAACTATGCGGCATATCTTTGGCCTGTACGGGTTTCCATTGGGGAGCGGTATCTATAGGGGGGGTTGGCCTCAAACAGGGGTTCAGTTTTGGGGCCAGGGTCTGACTTTGGGGACCTGCCAGTTGACACAAAGGGTTGCTGGGGTTGGCCCCTTTGTCTGACATGTGTGCCGACTTTGAAAACGTTTCAGGGACTTTGTTTTTAAAGGATCTGCCAGTGAAGGCCAGAATTCTATACCTAAACATATAATTAAAGAGCTTCCCCTGCTTTCTAGAAATATAATACAATGCTTGTAATGGGTTTTTTATTTTTTTCTACATCACAGTAAAATGTAACTAGAACTTACAACAGTAACATTTAGAGAACCACAAAACACAGATTTCTGAAATAGCTTGCACAAGGCCAATCGGCAACCGTCCTTTGCCGTCTAATCGATAACCCAACCCTAGAGTTCCGATTCGAGCCAACTGGCTGGCAAGCCATTAAGTCTGAAACAGACTGACGGGCAAACTGTTAAAGTGAAACTTGCAACAACTTCCATTTGCTTTTAGCCATCCGCTAATTCCGTTCCTAATGTCCAGGCCGTGGCCATTTAAATTGTCTTCATTTGTTTACTGCCCGACAGTCGAATGGAGGCAACTGCTTCTTTTTTTTTTTTTCGAAAGGAATGAGGGGGAATTTTAGAAGTACAGAGTAATCCAGAAAACTACCGATTAACTCTCGACGGGGGCAATGCGATTGCTCTGCAGCTGCCAAATCCAATGGAAATCCAAAAGCCAAGCAATTTTGAACTCTAATGGAAAATCAATTTAAAGCAACGCCAACCTAACCCCGCACCTTTTCCCTTTTGCTTCTGTTTGCAGGCGAATGCCGGAGTCTGGACTGGAAAGCCATTGGCGAACTTGGCCAGAACGTAGTTAACGTGGTTAGTAGTGGAAAAGGAGACCAGAAACGAGAAGCAGCGAGTGGCGAGGCAAAAGCCAGAAGACAGCGAGCGTGTAATGAGCAGACGACGGCCAATTACCATGTCGTTGGCCCCCCATCTTGGCCAGGCTTTAAGCCTCTGCCTGGTCTTTCTGGCCACGATGCAAGTGGCCCGGGGACTGGCCAACTGCCCGAATGGCTGCGAGTGCGACGACGACACCCTGATGGTCAATTGCGGCGAGGGAACCCTGGACGTCCTGCCCATCGCATTGAACCCGGCCATCCAGCGACTGGTGATCAAGAACAACAAGCTGAAGACCATCGACTCCTCCATGCAGTTCTACGCACAGCTCACCTTCCTGGACCTGTCCTTCAACGACATGGTTACCATACCAGAGCGATCGTTCGCGTACCACGCCAAATTGCAGGAGCTGCACCTGGACCACAACAAGATTGGCCAGGTGTCCAACAGGACCTTCCAGGGTCTGTCCACCATAAGTGTTTTGAATCTGCGGGGCAACCTGATTGCCGAGCTGGAGTACCGCACCTTTTCGCCCATGGGCAAGCTGGCCGAGCTGAATCTTGGCCAGAACCGCATCAGCCACATCGATCCGCATGCCTTGGATGGTTTAGTTAACCTGAGGGTTCTCTACCTGGATGACAACACCCTGACCACTGTGCCGGGGGAAATAACCTTCCAGGCGTTGCCTTCCCTGGCGGAACTCTACCTGGGCACCAACTCCTTCATGACCATTCCCGGTGGAGCCTTCCAGGATCTCAAGGGGTTGACACGTTTGGATCTTCGTGGAGCTGGCCTGCACAACATCTCTGGAGAAGCTCTCAAAGGTTTGGAGGCCCTGCGATACTTGGATCTGTCGGATAATCGCCTGCCTGCGATACCCACTGCTGCCTTCCAGAAACTGGGAAGGCTGGAGCAGCTGAACATTGGCCAGAACGACTTCGAGGTGATCTCCTCGGGAGCCTTCGCAGGTCTCCGCGAGCTGAGGCACCTGGAGCTGACCGGAGCGCAGAGATTGAGGCGCGTGGAGAGCGGCGCCTTCAGCGGGAACTCGAATCTGGAGCACCTGAATCTGTCCAGCAACAAGCAGTTGAGTGAGCTGCCCGCCATCGCCTTGGGTGGATTACCCCATCTCAGCACGGTGGTGCTGAAGGCCAATCAGTTGAGCAGCCTGGACGAGGGTCTGGTGCCCTGGGCCGATCTGCAGACCCTCGATCTCTCCGAGAATCCGTTCGAGTGCGACTGCCGGCTGCTGTGGCTGCACCATCTCCTGGTCAGCCGGAATGCCAGTGGCCAGTTCGCCCAGGTGGTGTGTGCCTACCCGACGACCCTCAGGGACTTGCCCCTGGCCCAGTTGGCCGAACCCCTCTTGGGCTGCGCCCGTGGAGCGGCCAGCAAGCAGGCGATTATCGGCATCCTCGTGGTGGCCTGTGCCGCTCTGATTACCACTTTGGCTTTGGTTCTGTACACCTGCCGTCGAAGGATGAGGGAGATGCTGAAGGGACACTCGGCGCTGGGCAGGAAGGAGCGGGAGTACCAGAAGACCTTCTCCGACGAGGAGTACATGGCCAGACCGCCGCCAGGATGCGGTGGAGTTCATCCGGCTGCCGGGGGCTATCCCTATATGGGCGGCAGCAGTCGGCCGATTCCGGTCACCGAGCTATAGCTAGAAGCACCACCCCCGCCTCAGCTGCGGGGTCGGGGTGGTGGTGCCAGCACCGCCAGCGGTGCAGTGCAGCAGCTCCAGGTGCCCAGTGCCGTCGACCAGGCCTCCAACTCCTTCGCCCAGCTCAGCCACATCCACTACATGACCAACAACGGACAGCACCCTCAAAATCAGCAGCAACCACCAACCTCCAAGATGCACCACTCACAGCAGGACATGCGGATGCTCACCTGCAACGGTGGCAAGCCACTGAACGCCGCCTCGCTGCCGCGCCACCGACCGCCGGTGGTGCAGGAGAGCACCCTCTCGCACTACAGCCAGCCACTTGCCAACGGTATCCGACTCACCCAGGACCACTTCAACCACAACCAGAGCCAGGGACACAACCACCACTACGGTGGTGTCTATGCCAAGCCGTGCGATGCGATGTCGGAACCGGGATATATCCACAATAATTCCCACTACTCCCTACCCTTGGATCACGACTTGCCACCAAGTCCCACGCCCACTCCACCACCACCCGCCCTCCCCCTGAGGAACGGAGTGGGCATGGCCCTGATCCACGGCAACACCACCGGACGCAGATCCTTCAACAACAACAACAACAATGTGTCCACTCTATCGAACAACAACCATCATGGTGGCGGTGGAGTCGTCGCAGTGGGCAACAACAACGGGAGTCTGAGGCGGTACCACTGATATCCGGCCAAGACGTGCGGCACTCTGGGCCGCACCATCATAAAATCGAGGCCGGATCCGGATATCGAGCTGCATTACTTTTACAAGGGTTGAGAAGGAAGTTAAGGAGCTGGCGATCGATCTAATTTAATCGGGACTGTTTCGGTTTTCGCTTTCGAAAAGAGTTACCGGGTGGGTAAATTCCACTTCGAATCGAATTTTGATATATAATTAACTTGACATTAAGCACCAGAAGCAGTTCATCAGCTTAAAGAATTTGATATTAAAATAAGCCCCCTAAACTCTTACCGAAAACGAAAACCGTGGCAAACCTGAATATTCATAATCTAGTTGTATATTCCTACGTTACGTGTATTCAAGCGAAAGCATTTTGTATAAATTAGGATTTAGTTCGTGAGGTTGTCGACCGGGAAAAGCGCAGGTAAAACGCAGGTGTATATAAGAAAATCTTGCGCACAATTTGGCAGGCAGAATGGGTTGGCCAAGTTACTAGCCAACCCGCTGCAAAAGCCATTTCATTTGCATACAGTGATCTTAACTATTAAGTTATGCTCGAAAGCATTTCAGTTAATGTACATAATTAGAAGCTTCTTATTAATCGATAAAACTTCAAAAGAATACAAAAAAAAAATTAAGCGAAAATCTAATTTTACTTTATAAAATAATAATAAATAAGCTACTCGCTGAAGCACCAGTCATTAAAACTATGTATGTATTTAGCCTAAAGCTATCACAAAAATATTCCAAAAATAAACGAAAGCCCTAAACAAAGTGAAAATAAATATGCAAAACTAAAATAGAACACAACAGATTTTTATAGTTAATAGACTCAGTAAAGAATAAACTACTCATCGGAATAATAAACAAAGAAACTGTTTACAAAGTGTAAAATGGAAAAGCAGAAACTATTGAAAACTCCGCAATATACATGTAGAATCTATGCCGCATTCACAAATATAAATAAGCAATTTATGCAACATAAACAAATACAAAGTAAACTATATATACGCATTATACGTGTAAATAAAAAAAAGTAACTATGCTCGAAAAAAACATACATTTTACCTCTTTTCATTTCCCTTTTTACTTTTCAATTTTCCAGCCTCGGCGGAGACTTTTATTTCAGCATTTTATTTGATTTTCTCTTTTCACTTTTCACTGCAACGAGTCGACATCATTCAGATCGATTGTACATATTTAACAATTTAATGGAACAAATTGCAAAACCAATACAAGGGAGTTAAAAGTAACCTACAAATAAACGAAAACAAAGATTACCATATATAATTGAAAACTTATTCAAACGAAAATTTCATATTCATATTTCATAACGAAGCAGATCTTTCATCTAGTTATACGACAAGACAACTATGAATAAATTAAATCAATTCGAACTACAGTTTAAGCAAATTACAAGGGACAAGCATAGTTAAACAAACGAGCCAGAGAAATGGTATAAAAGTATAAACAAAAAATAGAGTGTAGTCCAAAACAAATGAAATTTTGTGGATCAGCGTATCATTAAAACCAAAAGTCAAGCAAGATGTCATGCAAGGATTTCTCTCAATGTAATGGATAAAAGCAAATGCGAAGAAAATTGAAAATTCAACAGTGTTCAAGAACTAGAGAATAAAATCAAATAAAGAACAAACTTAACAATAAATCTGGCGATGTTATTCTTTATGGGGACTGAGCTAAAAATGTTTTAATTTTATTTGCAGATTAATTTGTTATCTGGGTGAGCTAATCACTTTTTTGCTTGAAGCCTTTGCATTAGAATTTTTCTGAATGAACACAAGGGGTAGCGTGGCCGAGCGGTCTAAGGCGCTGGTTTAAGGCACCAGTCTCCTCGGAGGCGTGGGTTCGAATCCCACCGCTGCCAATTGGTATTTATATTTTTTTATATTTTTTCCTTCTATGTTTCTAACATTTTCAGCTTGTTCACCAATCTGCCAACCATTTTCGGTTGCCAGCACTTTGGAAAACTAGTGCACCCTGCAACTGTTTGTCGGTGTCAAATGCAAATACCCAAAAACACTTTGCGATGGCAGTTTAGTTAATGCGCCAGCGACAGACAGACAGAGTTGGAGCTGCGCAGGGAGTGCACGGCTGGTACTCATCTGCATAATTTAATTACATTTAACAATAACAAAAACACGGGCTCACGCACACATGCCGCAATACACGCTTGCAACGTGCAGCGTTTTGCGCTAATAAGCGACCGGGTCACCCTGGCCCCACAGCCCCCCGTCCCATTTGCCACCCCCTTTTACCCCAACCCGCTGATGTCATGAAAGCTGTCAAGCGAGTGTGGCACACTCCGCAAAAATCTCAAGCGAACTAGTGAAGCTGCACCCGTGACACGAACACAATTTATTTAATAATTAACTAGTACACAATAATTCAAAAAATTTTTAAGAAATTGTAAAAACACTGGAAAAGAAAATCTAAAAAAGAATCGTACCTACCAACTTTTTTTAATAATTTGGTTTTAGTTTAGATATTAATCATGTTTAAGTTTATTGTTTTTTCCGTTTTTGTTTTTGAAAATTGAATTTTAATTTATTTATGTTTTCCTAGTTTTAAAAATAGTTATTTTAAGGATGCTGTACACATTTTGTGGCTTCGCTCACGCAGCCATCCTTAGATGTTCCTGCGGGAGAACCAGAATTCGTTCTGGCATAAACAGTTGCACATTTGCATGCCCCTCCTGCGGCAGGATGCCTTCGGCTGGTGTTGCTGCTGCTTGTGCATATGCGACATTAGCGCACGCAAACAACGTACACACAATTAGAAGAATTAACAGTAGTTAAGGCAACAACAACAATACGCCAAACTTGTTGGCAAGAAGAGTGCATCGGTGTGCAAGGACGAAAAGTGGGGGAAAGTGGGCGGTGGGTGGCGGGATGGGGCATCTTTCCCGCTGCCGGCGGCTGTTGTTGCTGTGCTATACTTGTAATTTAGTTTCGAAACGAGTTCCGCTGCATGTCCGCTGCTGTTGCCGCAACTTATTGGCCACAACATGCCAACTTATTAGGCAAAAGCGCAAAAGTTATAAATTGTTCACAAGGCGCACATTGTTGCGGCCGTAAATATGTGGATGCCGAGTTAAGGACAACAGGAAGCCAGAAAGTTGCCAAGGATGTGCGGTTATCGCTTTAAAATTAAGGTGCACGAAGATTAAAGTTTAATGGCTTTTGTTAAGGTTAATAAATTATTTAGAACAGAAAACATCTTTGAGATATTGAAAACAAGGACTTCGTCGATTAAAAAGATTTGATATTGTATATAAATGTAATAAGGTTGATTTAATTTCAAAACAAAAAAGTCTTGTTGGTAAAATATTAAGCATTAGTGCTCTTTTCTTTTAATTGTATTGTTTCAAACATTGTATCACATTTAATTAAAGTTTTTTCTTCCATCATATTCTCCTCCCCATTCAGCTAAGAAGAATTACAAAATATATTTAATTGACAGCCGTAAATTTATGCCACGAAAATTGTTTTCAAAACAAAAGGAGTCGCTCCCTGAAAACCGTCTCTCCAACATTTTGTCTGCTTTGCTAATTTATATGTTAATTTTTTTCATATTTCCATGCACAGACTGAATATTATTTTTGTGCTATTTCATATTTCGTTGATGCGGTCGCTTTATTTTGAATACAAAAACGGGAAAGGATGGCAAAAGCAACCCAAAAACAACATAATGCCATCGTCTATTCAAAAAGGCGTTTTCGGTTTGGTTCTTCCTTTTTTTGGGTTTTATTTTGCATGAAATTTTCGCTGAACAGGCACAAAAACAAGTTGGCAAGGGGATTCGGGTTGGTCAAGGGCTCATAGGCAGCTTTTTAATTTTCAGCATGAATTAGAATAATAGTCAACGGATATTACACAATGGCAGCCAGGGGGCGTGGCCTGGGGGGCGTCCCATCCTGTTGGGGATTTCCGGTCAGCTCGGTTCGCTCGGGTTTGGTTTTTGGCCTTGGGGCTTAGGGCTGCTGGCCATTAAGGGAATTGGCCGACGGAAGAATCTTTAATGAGAAACTAACGGCTAACAGTATTCCCTTTTTGCCGGGGATTAATGAAAGAGTTACCCCAAATAATGTATTACATATTCAAAGCTATTATATTAGAAACTGAAATTAAGCTGTTTTGCCTTCCTTGACAATTTCCTGGAAAAAGGTTTCCCATTTTCGGTGGCACTTAACGTCTTATTTGCTGAGACAAATATAAAATTCGCAAAGTGTTAAAAAAGAAGCCAAACACTTCTTGGAAATGCTTAAAACAGGCGAAAAACAAATGAAAACCAAAAACGACCAAAACAAAAACGTAAAAAGTGCTGACACCTTTGAAAAATTTTCACGCTAATAAAACACAAAACATGCCAGAGAAATGTGAAAAGCGTGAAAGTCCTCCGCCTTTCCCGACAAGGCGACCACCGAGATGGATGGCGATAAAGTCGGGGAAGGTCCAGGACTTTCCCGGCGGGAAGGGGGAGCTGGGCCGGAAAACCCAACAAAGGGAGCAGCCGCCGCAAGCAACCGCAAGGGGGAAAAGCTGGAAAAACCCAGGGAGCCCAGCAGGACTTGTTTTGTATTTGTCCCGAAAAAAAGAGAGCAAAATTTGTTTTAATGCCACGCTCCTTTTATGCTTTTCTTTATAACTTCTTTTCAGCTTTTTTGTCATGTTACAATTTTGCAGCGACAGCAGTAAAAAATAATATTCCCCCACCCCCCGCGGCAACCGCAACTTCTGCAACATCATAAACCCATTTGCGTTTTTAATTAGTAACATCGCAACTTGGCGGACAGAAGCGGCTGAGGGCGAAAAGTAAATGACCATGCACAAAATGTTGCACTGAGGCAACGACTGAAACAGATAACAAGTCCAGGGATCTCTCCTCCGGTTTACCTCCTTCTCAACCAAAAGCCCAAACATAAAAACGCTGGAAAAACTGGAGCAAATAAGGTAAAAATTTTTAATTGCCGCAGAAGCAAAAATTATTAAGTTGCGGTTTCATTTCAAGTAGTGCGAACCCAACTAGCCGCAGAGCAGCCGGTGGTCAGTCCATCCTCATCACCGTCATAAAAGAGTCGGCGAACAAAATTGAAAAGCGCAGCTCAAGTGGAGCAGCCTCCTGTCGGGAATGGTTTCGGTTTTGGACTTGCTGCCTCCCATCTGGTTTCCCTTTTTTTTCGCTTTTTAATTTTTTAGCGGGGAATCGGTTAAGCCGCGCTCGAAAATGGGGCAACGACCGCGGGTCACTGCGACTGACCGGCGAAGAGGAGTCTGCCAGGAAGGTGCTGACAAGTGTCCTTCAAGTGGAAGGGATGATCCGCAGAAATAGCAGCGCTAATTAAACACTGACACCGGTGTTGCGAAAGCATAAAAAAGAGATTAGAAGACGATGACAAAGTGGACACAAAGTTTGTCGGTTGATTCTCACAAATTATGCATTTTTTACCCAACTCATTGCAAGTATAGAAACTTAATACAAAGATTTAAAAGTTTAATATGTGAAGAAAAATTTTACAATTAATATTCTTTAAAAAAATTTAATAATAGTCCGATGCTCTTAAATTCTACTTAATTCCAAAAACGTATTTTTTTAAACATTTTTTAAACTAAGAACAAAGGAAAAAATCGCTTAAAGGTCCCTTCGCCTTGTTTTCTTTTTGGCCAGCTAGTTAAATCCACAAGTTTATAGCGCATCGAGCACTAAACGCTCTCCCGAAAATACTTATCCCCCAGCCATCCGAAGTTTATGTGTGCGCTGTCCCATGTGCGCGGGTCAGTCATATTTTATTTCCGAGTTTTCTTTTGCAGTTTTTCCGCTGGATCCACGTACAAGTGGCCAAGTTGAATGGACAGAAGTCACAGCAGAGCAGTTGCCACAATTAACACGTGGGGCAGCGAAATATATTGGTGGGTGGAAAAAGTCCTGTAGTGGGTTACATCAGACGTGCAGAACTAAGTCCGCAGGAGTGCTGCACGTGTCAGAGATATAACCACATTAATTTTTTTTTACGCTGAAACAATTATTTTATATTATACAAACTTACAAAAGGATTAAGTGCATACCATTTCCAGAGAAAGATTTTACTGAAAAACAAAGTATTGCTTATGGTAATTAAATTCAACTTCTCTCTATCTTATCTCTCTATATGTCTTTAAAATTTATTTAATTTATCTCAAGTCATTGGTTAACAACATTTCATATATAAAGAAAGGCAAATTCTGCAACCTTTTTTTATTTACCAAATATTACATTTTTGACAAATTTTTGGTCGTTTCCAACAATTTACAACATGGGGTTGATCTCCGCCAACTGGCCATAATAAATTATGCTTTGACTTTTACAAGCCACCCCTCTCAATGGTCATAAAATGCGTACCGCTTCAGGCCCCCGATGGCGACTATTAAAAATTACATAATTGCTCAACTGCAGCAAAACCGAAAGTCAGACGCAAAAGGTCTCTCCTTGAGTTTTATTTTTGCGTAGCAAATTGCATTATTTACTTTTCAATACATTGCCAAAAGAACCAAGGGTGTGCAGAATACAGCAGAATACAGCAGACATGGCTCTGATGCCAGAGAACTTGAACAAATTTGTTTATGAAAATTAATGAAATCGACCGTGACTAATCGATTATATAAGCGGACA